GTTTTTTTTTTTTTTTTTGGCCCAGGCATCAAACTCAGGTCCTTGCGCTTGCGAGTCAGGCAGCGGCACTGCTGAGCTAAATCTGTGGCTCTAGAACAAGGCTTTTTAACCTTGGCTCTATTGATGTTTTGGGCCATAATTCATTGTTGCAGGGGACTGTTGTGCATATTTAGGAATTCAGAGTCTCCTTGGCCTGTGTGTGTATGTGTTTAACTGTAGACTCAGAAAGACCAGAGTTGCTTGGAAACGGATAACAACTTCACTTCTCCCTTATTACTGTTTAAGTAAATTCTCAGAATATGTTCTTTAATTAAAAGTTATGCATTTCAACTCCAAGCCTCAGCAGGAAACAAATTCCAGTAGTTAGAAGCAGGGGGCCCATGTCAGATAAACGCTACTTGGGTCTTTGAAAACAGACTCTCTCCTTTTCTGTGTGCCTCAGTTTACCCTTATATATCCTTGGGCAATGTGAGCACCTATTTTTGTAGGATTTGTGTGAAAGATGAATGAGGTAATCATTGAAAAGGCATTAACACGTTAGCTGGTACATGGCAGTTCTCCATGAAACCCACAACTAAAACATTGATGTCCTAGAACTCAGCAGACTCTTATCTTAATGGCCAGAAAACAGAGCTCCTAAATCCCATCTACTCCTTCCTCTGAATAGAATGTCCTGTGGCATAGCACCTCGGTAACACATTGCACCAAACACTCTAGGATGAGGGAAAAGTTAATGACTTTAACTTATGTGAGTCTTATGTTAATTTTTGTGTTGCAGTCAAATATATTTGCTGTTTTAACAATTTAAAGTATATAATTCAATGTCAGTAATTATACTGACAATGTAGTGTAACTGTCACCACTGTCTCTGGTCTTTCTGAGTCTACAGTTAAAACACACTGCACACCACACACACACACACACACACACACACACACACACACACAGAAAATGTGTTTACCTCTAAACCATGTCAATTATATCAGAGAAGTGCTTTTCCTAGGAGAAAAGCTGGAGCACAGGGATGTTTCTGTGGCCCTGGATGCCCCTGTGAGTGAATTGACAGTTCCCTACTGGGGCTGAGAGAGCTGTCTCTGAATTTTCTTGTCTATCTTTCTGCCTTATGGGGACAGGGAGGTGGATTATGGCGTTTGATGATTTAATCTGTGTAATCTCCAGACAAAACATGTCTTGACTTTGCTGCCAGGAAAATGTTAATTTATTCTGCTTCTGGAGCTACAGAGGTAAACGAAGAGATTGAAGATGCTGTGTGTGTGCGCATGCATGTGCATGTGCGCTGGTGCACACTTGTGTATGTGTGTGTGTGTGTGTGTGTGTGTGTGTGTGTGTGTGTGTGTGTGTGTGTGTGTGTGTGTGTGTGTGTTGGTATGCAGGGCTCTGTGTGAAGAGAAGCAAACAAGTCTAAAACAAGGGATTTTAAGTAGAAGGCTCAAGCATCTCCTTTAGCAAATTGTCAGTCTAATTTTGTGGTGTCTTTTACCTGGCCAATCTTTCTCTTTGAGAGTCACAGTCATTTTAGGTATATGAGATCCTTGATATTTAAGAAGCACCATTATTTGGGTACGAGTCTGGGGACAGGGAGCAGGAATGGGATTTATTATTATGCCAAGCTTGTTAAATTTGAAGCTTTAAAAATACCAAGCTGTGCTGGAGTCAACTTTGGCAAAATGAGCATAAGCTCTCAGTCTTCTTCATCCATGTCCCCCTCTTTCCAGTCCTTCTGCTCTGCCCTATGATCCTCTGCCACCTTTTGCTCTGTAGGCTTGCAACCAGCATGGGCAATGTAAAGACTAGATTTCCTTCACCTTGTGCCTGCCACATAGTGGGGATTCAATAACTGGTAGCTTAGGAG